GCCGACACGGTCAAAACCCGGAATCTGGGCTTGAGACCGGGCTGACCACCAGGCCGGGTTTAAAAACTATGGGTCCAACCTCAGTTTTTACATGGTCGATGTCAAATAAAAATGTGGTTTGAGATTACCAAACATCAAAATCCTATTTTTATTGTAAATCACAACCGTGATGCAACGGCATGATTTGCTTGTTTTTTTAAAAATAGTTTTAAAAATTATTTTATATTTATTTGTTATTAAAATAATTAATTAATAGAAAATATTTTTTTGTAAAAAAAATATTCTTTTCAATCAAAAAAATTTAATTTGGTTTCTAGAAATTTTTTTTTGGATAAAAAACATTTTTTAAAAGTTATAAAATTTTTAGAAATATTATATTATTTATTAATTATATCAAATTTAATCTTTAAAATTTTGATATATATATATATATATATATTATTTTAAATATTTAATTTTTAATTTTATCTGTTAAAATTTAATTTTTATATTAACTTTTATACTCATTTTTATAATTGTTATTTGTTTTTCTTTTATTATTTTTTTATTAAAAGATTTTATCCATTAAATTTGATCCTCGTTCTTTTAATTGTTACTTATTTTATTTGAAATAATTTATGAAATGTTAATATTATTATTTTAATTTTTTCATCTTTTATTTTTTTATTTTTTAGATTTGATCTCTATTATTTTGATTATTATTTATTTTATTTGAGATCATTTATGAAATTATTATTTTTTCAATTTTATTCTCATTTAACTTTTTAACTTGTAAGATTTGTTTCTCGTTATTTGAATAAATTTGAGAAAAATAAAATATTAATAAGTTGTTTTTCAGATTATTTTCTATGATATAACAAAATACTGAAAAGTGTTTTCCAATTTATTTTTTATTATACTATCAAATATCAAAAAATAATTTATTTTTATGAAATTTACTTTTTTAAAAAATTCTTTTTTAGCAAATAAATAGAGCCTAAATTTCCAGTCTACAACAAATATTAAAAATACATTTTTTTTTTAGCAAATAAATAGAGCCTAAATTACAAAAAGAAAGTGTTCCAGTCTACAACAAATATTAAAAATACTTAGTGTGCTACTATTCACTTTTTTACTGTAATGATTGAATTTTTCTTGCTAAAAAAACTTTGCAATTGAGGTCAATTATCTTTTTCATGTTATATATTTAGTATTAAAAGAATGATGGAAGATAAAATAATTTGTCTGAATTTTTTAAGCCATAGTATAAATACTGATTTATATACACAAAATTTTAACTTTTAAGTGGAAGTCTTTTTCTATCTTAAAAAAATATAAACAGTGCGGATATAATTATACTCATAAGAGGGAATTTACACATGTTGAGGGGTTTTTTTTTTATTAAAATAATTTAAATACCATGCAAGACTGGAAATAAATCTGACATGATGATGAAACTCAGATATTTATGCTTAACATACTGCATGTATTGAAGAGTTTTTATTTTATTCTATTTTATTAAAATAATTTAAAAACAATGTCAAGATCTACAAATGCGGGCTTGGGTTTCAAATAAGCATGATAATTAATTTTCAAAAATCTATAATTTTGAAGTTTAAAATACCTAAATCCCCCCTAATGCCCCTTTAGAACTGAAGCCGATAGTAATCCTTGTTGGTTGGTGTATTATATATTTCCATGCTAATTAATCCAACTTTTAGTGTGTATTAAAGACACATACTTGTGTTAAATAGACTCTGTTAGCTATGCTATTAAGACCCAAAATTTTTTGAGAGCATCGATATGTAGATGATTGTTATACTTATGGGCTATGTATTATCATGGGCTGACGTTTTAGTTGACAACACCTTTGGGCTCCCTTTGCTTGGCCCAAATATGTTGCCACGTGTCAAAAATGATGCTATAAATTAATCCAATATTATCAAAAATGATGATATAAACCCGCCCCCTCAAAAAAGCCGCAAACCTAAAACCCATTTTCCCGGAATCCAAACACCAAACTCTCTAGGGGTTCAGAATCGCCGAAATGGCAGTGCTCAATTGGAAGCACCACACTCTCATTCAAGCTCTAATGTCACGCGGGCCACTCACGGAAGACGAATTATTCAACATCTTCGCTGACGTCACCGGCAAAAACCCGAGTAAATACTTCGTCCCCCCCCCCCCCCCCCTCTCTATATATATATGTTTCTATCATTTTTAAGGCAAAATGGATCTCTTTTTCCGTTGAAACTGGAAAAAATTAGGAATATTTAGTTTTTGTGAAATTAGAGATTACGGTTTTTTTTAAAGAGGGACATAATTAATTTATTATTTTTTCATGGTTATTTTTTTTTTGAAGGAGGTAACAATAGAGAATTCAATGATTATTTACTGAAGATAAACAAGGAATTGTCGTGTGTTCAAATGGAGATGAGGTGTTGTAGAAACCAAAATGATGGTGGAGTGTGTTACGGACTTGTCAATACTGTTCCTGATGAGCAATCGAAGCTCGGAACGAAGTATTCTGTCCCACAGATTGCTTTATTTAAAGGCGTTGTAAGTGTCATAGTGGAATTTGATTTATTTTGGGAGACATTTATTGTTATTGTTGTTAAAAGCTTTATGATGATGGTTATGTTGCTTGTTTCCATGGGATGACTCTGTGGACCGGGAAATGATGATCCCCGTGATCATTTCACCAATGTTTGTGGAATATGTGTTTTGGGAGTTGTTTTTGTTGGGGATTCTCTGTGGCTGATTTGTAGTTCGTATGCAAAAATGGGAATGTAAGGTGCGAGTGTTGGCTTGGGTATGATGAGGTTTTCATAAGAAATGGATTAGTTTGAGTATATTAGGCAATGACTAATAAGTACGTAATATTGAATCTTTAATGAGATTTCAATTCTCTAAGATACACCTTTGAATGCATTGAGTTATCCTCTTTATTAAATGCCATGCTGCCACATATCTAAGCCTGATGTTTGGAGTTACTGTTTGGCAGCTTAACTTTCCCTTTCAGCAGTGAAGGCATGTAATATGGAATGAGAAAAGGAAACCCATGCTGTGGATTCTGTATTCCATAGCATACTGAAAATAAAATTAAAAAATCACACATATAAGCTCCCTTATTCTCAGATTCTTGTGTGTGTGTGTGTTTGCTTTTCAAAAGCCAACTGTTTTTGTGATCTAGAAATGAATCGTGCTGGTCCACTGGTTTTGCCAGATTGTGAGTGAGTAAATTTTAGGATTTGTCTCGTTTTTAATTTATTGAGCATGAGTAGCTAGTTTTGTTTCTGTTTTTTCCCCTCCATTCTTGATCATTGTATACAACTTTCTTTTCCCTGTAGTCTGTTATAAGTTGAACAACTGTGCTATTGAAGTTCTGCCTTTAATTTAATGGGATTTAGATTCATGTTGTTTATGTTATTTATTTGTTTGTTTGATTTCATTTGTCAGATAGAAGCGATAGTGCAGTATGTCACTGCCCAAGGAAGCATATCCAACATTGATGCTCTCAATATACGACTAGAGAATCAGGTCTGAAAATTTTCTCCTACCAGCACTTTTAAGTTAATCAATGAATTTGATCATAAATAAAATGATCCCACACCAAGAAAAGAAATAACATTACGAGTACATTTTTTCAACGCCAAGTGGCTTCTATTTTTACCAACAAGGACTAGAAACTTCTGGGCTATGTTGTAATTAGGAAGTTTTTTCTCTGAAACAATGGCATTTATCTCTCATCTTCTGTCAAAACATTGTGAAATATCCTTCAGAGTGATAAAAATGCTTGCCATTTTCAAGCTAGTGTAGAGTTCTGGTAGACATACATCATGTTATACCTGAGGATTTGACTAGGATCTCATTGGGGTCTCTAACTTAACACGAGACAGTTATTAGACCCTAGCATGAATACACTTTCATGGTGTTGGAATATTTTGAAACTATAATCAGTAGAACTGTGCTCTTGAAATTCACTCTGGTATCCCACTGATCTTCTGGTACGATTCTGGAGCTTGAAACCTCTTCATTTTCTTGTTTAGTCTTCATTATTCTCTGTGTTATTATATCCTTCCTGCCATTTCTAGCTGCAGTAGTAATTTGTGGTTTAAAGCCAGTGAAATTCCCTTAGCAGATGGCTTCATGCATGCTTATCTTATTTTTGTGATGGTTTTAAAACCAATCAAATTCTCATTGTGGTTTGTTTAGAAGCTTGATCTGTTTATGGAAAGGGAAACTCTGTTTGGGAAAAAAAGACTACACTCATCCTATTTGTGATTTCATCAATTCAATTTGATTTTTTCATTTTTAAAATGTATTTATTGGCCATTTGGAATTGCAGTTGGTTGCTATAGCCGAAGATGATGGCCTAAACCAATATTCCTGAGCAACAAAAATCACCATCATCTCCTTCACGGTCTCTATCTAGGCATTTCTTTTGTATTCCTCAAAAATTCCTGCCACGCATGATCTTTTTGCAGTGCTTAGCCAAATCACTCTGTAGATGAACTGTCTTATTTTACAAATTAGCGCAGTCGATGGTGTTCTTTGCTTGATGGTCAGATCACAGTTAATAAATCTTGTGACAAAAAGATTGCTGAATCCATGCACTTTCAACTTAAACTGTTGTTACAAGCAGACAAGTCTCTTGCTAGTTGTATAAAACATATTTATATCTCTTTAACCATTAGCGTGATGTCAGGAACAATGAAGAACTCTCTCCCATTTTCATTTGTACAGACGTGTGTTTTGTTTTATGCATGCATGCATGCTAATGTTCTTGGCAATCCTGGTCTCTTTCCAGGTCCAGAACGGGACAGGGTCAGAATATCAGGAAGGTCCATCTCAGATCCCTCCTGCTTTAAGGAACTTCTCCATGTCCCAAAAGGAAAAAACACTTGATGAACTTGTTCGAGACAACTGGCTTTGCCACACACCAGATGGTGCCATTGGACTTGGTGCTAGATCCTACCTTGATTTGCGAAGTTGGTTCAATAGTTCTGGTATACCTTCATGTGAGGTGTGCAATGAAGCTGGAGTAAAGGTTTTGTTTCTTCAACCCTCCTGTGCATTCTATGCTATTTAATCTGCTTTTATGTTATGAATTCAACTTAGATTCTTTTCAGTTGTTATCCTCGAGGGAAATCCAACTTAAGTGGATGATGTCAATTGGATACAAGTTAGAAGATTGTTCGACAATGCTTCTTACATTTGTTAGATGACCTTCTTGATTGGAGACTAAACTACATCACACATATATAGATTGAAAAAGAAAATAGAGAATCATGTGCATCATTTCAAAGTATTTGTAATGGTCAATTACCTCCAGATAACTGCAATAATGCTATGGAGTTTTAGTCTTAAAAGCCTATCCTATGAACTAAACAACTGACTAATGGTCGCAATTTTTTTTCTCTATATAATTAGGCCTCAGCTATTGGAATGTTGTTTGTTGCTCCTATTAGATCCAATGATTTATTCGCATTCTTTTTGACAGGGAAAAGTGTGTCAAAATGAAGGATGTACAGCTCGAATTCATCATCACTGCCTGGAGAAGAAAATTTCGCATAGCAGGGTATTAGTGTTGATGAATCTATTGTCTTGATATCAACAATTGACAGATAGTCACTTTTACTTCGTGAAGTCACTAATATAAAGATTTTACAGGGTGAAATAGTCTGTCCAAGCTGTGGCATTCAATGGCATCGCGGAGTGGCCAAAACTGAGGTCATAGAGGAAGAGCGTGACCTAAATGGGCATATTCAAAGCCAGCTGCCAGCAGGATCCAAAAGGAAGAGGCTGAGAGCCGACACAAATATCCCAGCAGCAGCTTTTGGATGTGTTTCCTCTCAGGGTTCCCAGTCCGGTTCTAGTAGAAGGATTACCCGGGCTTCCGCCCGATTAAGTTAAAATTTGTCGATATCTATCCTGATCAGAAGATCAACTGAAAAATAGCTGTATATTTTGCAAAAGGAATTGCATTTCTTTCTTGGCTATTCTTTCATGGAACAATGGCTGTTAATATTAATTTAACTTTTATTGTACAACTCGATTTTTAAGAATTGGAATGTAAGATTCCAAGTCATACAAAGGTTGTTTCCATGGTTACAGAATTTTGAACTTTAGCCTGCATTGCTTTTCACGTTTAACATTGACTTCTGATCATTGAAGCAAAGTTGAAGCCTGCATTAACATCTTCTCCTAGCACATCTTTTATGTCGAAGCTATAGACATGTCTGAATATTTGATTCCTGAAGAGAGGTGGAGTTATGGATTAAAACCCTGTTCAAACAACTGGGCGTGTAGAAATTACATTAAAATTAAAACAAGTAATAAAAGAGCTCAATGTATCACTATTCACTCTTTTATTGTATTATTCACTTAGATAAATTATTGCTAAAATTATTTTTACCAAATAAACTTTCTATGCATGCAGTTGAGGATATAATTGTTTTTTATTACCTTTTTACTGTGTTTATATATATATATATATATATATTCAATCCAGAACAATGATAAAATTATTTTTTATTAAAAAAACTTGTTAAACATGTAATTAGGATAAAATTATCTCTTTTATAAGATATATTTGTTATTGAAAAAATAATTAAAGATGAAATGATTTGTTCGGGTTTCTTGAGCTATAATATTAATATTAATTTGCTTTTAAGAACACAAAAATTTAATTTTTGGGTTGAAAATTTCTTATATCTTTTCAAAATAATAATAATAATAATGAACATACAACCATATTTATAAAAGAGAAAAATATACCTCAATATATTAAGGGGTCTCTCCATTTTTTATTTATTAAAATAGTTAAAATTATAAATATCATGTGAGTTACTTAGATTCAGCTGTTTGGGCACCTATCAGCACCCAAGTGTTTGGGTGGAGCGTGACTGATGATGTGCAAACTCTCTTTAATTATGAGCGATGTTCACCGTGAAATTACGATTAGCCTCTAAATATCTTTTCTTTATTATCATTGACTTTTTTTTTTATTTGATTGCCATATTCTTTTTATATTTCGTCTCATATTATTGTCTACTATTTAAATTAAATTATTAAATTACCTGATATTATTAGATCCATATTCAATATTAAGGTTTTTCCTTTTCTTTTTATGTAAAAAACATTGTCATCTCTATGACTTTCTTTTTTAACATTAAAAGGAAATGAGACCGGTCCGCCTCTGAGCGCGTGTTCCTAGTTGACATCCATGGGCAGTCCTGCATGCACTTCCCTTAGCTCAACCCTCACTTTCTCCCCCAAAAAATCCCACCAACAAATGTAACAAAAAAGGAAACCACAAGTCTCCCACTATTATCTCCTTTCCAAGCTCCAGAACACAAAGGTGTCATGGATTTCTCAGCCCTTCAGGCCAGACCTTCCACAGCGGCCTACTTCCCACTCCACCGGACCCAATTACACCCACGCATGCACTCTTTCTCTTCGCCCTACCCACCACAGCAACAAAGCACCAAATCCCAAAAAACCCACAAATTGTTAGCCCTTTTAGCCACCCTTTTGACCATCCCTTTCCTTTTTTACCTTTTTTCTACTGCCCGAAAGATCCACCATTCCTCCAAATTTTCCAACCCTAATACCCGTTTTTTTAGTGTTGTTATTGATTCGGGCCGGGCCGCGTGTAGAGTCCGGGTCTATCAGTTGTTGGGGGAGGGGAATTTAGGTTTTAGTAATGGGCAGTTGCCATTGGTTACTGGGTCAATGAAGGTGAGGCCTGGATTGGCTGGGTTTGCGGAGGACCCGGATAATGCGGGTGGGTTGATTGAGGGCTTGGTTGAGTTTGCAAAAAAGAGAGTTCCGAGGAGGGACTGGGGGAATGCCGGGGTGCAGTTGATGGTTAGGGGTGAGGAAATGGTGGGGTTGGAAGGGAAGTTGAAAGAGAGGATTCTGGAGGTGTGTAGGAAGGTTTTGAGAGGGTCTGGGCTTGCATTTAAGGACGAATGGGCGCGTGTTATTGAAGGTTCGTGATAACGTGTTTGGCTTTATTTTGATTGTTTGTGGTGTTATGAATATAATTTGATCTGGGTTTTTAATAATGAGGGGTGTTTAAGTTAGATATGTTGATATCCGGCACTATAACTTGATTGTGTTAACTAGTAAATGAAATAGTTATGAGCGAAAAGTGGTCTCATTTGCTATGTGATGATTTGTTTAATTTAGGCAGATGATGTGGTTAACTTAATTGTGTTTAAGTTTTTATTGAGTGGTGTTGATTTGAATGACATGTTGATGTGTTCTTCGATACAGAAGAAGAAAGGGGTGTTTATTCCTGGGTTGCTGTTAACTATGTTCATGGAACCATGGGAAGTGAACCTCACAAAACTACTGGGATGGTTGAGCTTGGTGGCAATTCTTTGCAGGTTCTTTTCTTGCCTCTTTTTTATGCTTGTAATTTCTGTCTACATAGGTCAATGAAGTTATGGAAATAGCATGTTGACATTGGCATTTTGTAGCATTAAACTCACTATAAAAACAGTACATGATTTACAATTGGTAAGATATGGTTTGAACTTAGTAGAGTCAGATTGAATGAAGAAATGAGAAAAACAGAAGGGGAAAGGACTGAAAAATATGGGCAGAAAGGAGGATTTTGTTGTGCAATATTATAAAATAGATGCCATGCCAAATACCATGAACCTCGATGGTGGTTGGTGGCTGCACCAGTACACCTTTTGTTTCAGACCTGTCAATTCAGAAAAGAGTATACATTGTAAGATGACCATGAAATCCCATTATTTGCAGCTGTTACTAGTCCATTTTATGCTAGCCAGAAAATTAGTTTGTGAAAATATTCGAACAAAAAGCAGTCAATAATGGGTTTATGTTAGGTACAAGTGAGTAGATTTATGGATTTAAGTGGCTAGTGATTCATGATAACTTTAGTGCCCTTGTTTACCTGGTCTGCTGGATAATTTTTTCACAGTTATAGAGGAATGATAATAACATCACACCAGAATATGTGCACTAGGACTTTGTTTGGATAAATGCTATTCTCAACAAGAATTTGAACAGTGTGACTAATAAATGCAGATTACATTTGCCTCAAGAGAAGCAGCACAAGTGCAATCTTCACGAAGGATAAAACTGGCTGGAGTTGCTTACAACCTTCAGGCACAAAGCTTACCAAAATTTGGCCAGGTGTTTCCCATATGTATTACTTTGTTGCTGATCAAAGTGTCAAATGTTCATCTCCTTTTGTTTTCCAGTCATCTTTCTGACTGATGCATGCTCTAAAATAACAAATTGACATTTCTGCTAGAAACAACTGTGGACAAAGTTTCTTACACTTTTGCTCTTGCAAGATTGAAATAGACATTATCTGCTGTCAGTTTAAGACTTTGTTTGGGATAGGGGTTTTCAAGTTGAAGGGAAGGAATGTTTTGCTTGGGAGCTCTTTTTCCCTGAAAAAATAGGAGACTGAAGGGCTTAGGAGGGTTTATTGTCTTAGGATGGAATTGGACCATATTGTCTGTGTTCATTTGTGCTTTTTTGTTATCTGCATTCTGCAACAACTTTGCATTGGTTTTTGGTGTTTCGAAAGTAGTAGTGTTGAAGAAGTTGCCTAACTAGGGAGGGCCCATTGTTTCTGTACAGGACACAGCATGGGAATCACTGCATGAATGGCACAGCTCTAGAGATATGAGTTCATGTAAGTTTCTACACCGACCTTTTCTTTAGATGAAGGCTGAGTTTAGTGGGCTTCAAAATTGAATAAGAATATCAAAGTTACAAAACAAAAAAATAGATTGGAATATAGATCGAATAAAAGAATTTATATATGAATAATCTTAAAATAAATGTGATAACATAGAATAAAGTCTGATTTGGATTGTGATTGCCAATTTAAAAGATTTATTACTCATGAGCTGTGGCAATCACACCTATCAAAGCAACTAAAAGAATTATTGAAATGAATTCAAATGGAAGAAAAACAATCTGTTGATAAATGAATTCCAATTTGTTGACCATTACTTGCCAAATCTTGCTCTGTAATCTGGTTTGCTCTTGTAGTCCAAATAATCCCATACCATGTTGTGTCGGGAATAATAGTAATTAGTAAAACAAAAGGACTTGCATTGCTGCTCGTACCATATTTTGCAGTTGCTTTTGTTACCCCCCTAACAATTTATTCCTTTTGTTCTCAAAGCAAAAAATGGGCCCTGCTGTTGTCTTTGACATGATTAACAGTTGTTGTGGAAATACTTTTAAAGCTGTAACTATGTTTAAAGAAGAGTGTTGCAGATAATTTTGTGGGTTTGAGCAGTACATTTTCCATTCAACATCGAAGAGGAAAGACTTTACATTAAATCATGTGGCCATGTATTGCAAATTTTACTCTTGTTGGTAATATATTGTATGTGAGTCAATCTAGTGAAAAACATTGATGCATCGTTGATGTTCTAATTTCAGATTTGAAAAATGTCATTGAATCACCTATCATAGCAAGTAAAATTATATTTGTGCAGCATCGGTTCATAGGGATGGGTTTGTTGGTAACCCTTGCATTCCCAAAGGATATGAGATGGCATATAATATAAGTGACCCAAAGCTTCTGCTGTCTCATGGAGCTGGAAACTTTACTGCATGCAGGATTGAAGTTCTGGCATTGTTGAAGAGCAGACAAGGTATCTTGTTCTCTTTTATCTTGATGGATTTTTGTGCTGTTTGTATAATTTGATTGTGTTCTTTGTATTGTTTGATCTGTGCTTTATAACAATTCCTAAACAGAAATTATTCATATTACTTGAGCATTTTGGCATTTGGAATAGGCAAGAAATATGTATATTGTACATAGGCCATGTTAGTATTATTGCAAATATGTGATATTAAAAATGACAACTATCTCTGCTGTTGTTGAATGGACTTTCAGACTAATAGGCCAAGCAAAATTGCAGGGCGAGTTTGCTTGGTAGTCAAAATATGCTTCAAAATTGAACTACTCAACATCCCAGTACACTGTTTGTGCTCCCTAACTGGATCAGCTATTATAAACCTTTAACTTAATTACCTTGCTGCTGAGACAAACTGCAATTTCTATTTTTATTCTGATAA